ACCGATCATGCTGCGTGTAGGGGACCTGGACAGGAGCATCGACTTCTACACCCGGGTCCTGGGCCTGAAGCTGATCAGGAAGCGGGATAACCCGGAGTACAAGTACACCCTGGCCTTCCTTGGTGGGTTTTAGTTTTGGAAGAGTGAATCTGTTCTTGTACCAGGTGGCGGCGCTGATGTTGCGGGTCCACCCAGATCACCTTTTGATGGAAGTGGGCTTGACTTCCCACAACGTTGTACTTCAACCTCACCCTGGAAACAAATTGATCACTGAAACCCCCATCTGCCAAGCGCACAGGTTACAAGGGCGACGAGAGTGCTGAGACCGTCTTTGAGCTGACCTACAACTGGGGCCGCGACTCGTACACCAAGGGGGATGCCTATGCCCAGGTCGCCATCTCCACCGAGGTGGGTTGGGCCTCTTGACAGTGGAGTTTGAACTGTGTTTGGTGCCTCAAAGCTGCACATGCTTGTGTGTGTGTAGTCTGAGGCCACTGATGGGCCCCGCCTGCTGTGGTGCTCTGTTCCACATCAGGCCTCCACATGCACGCGCCACCCAAGCCCTCCTTTCCACCCGGCCACGCCAGGATGTTTACAAGACTGGGGACCAGATCAAGGCGGCAGGCGTGAGCCTGCTCAAGGAGCCCGGCCCGCTGCCTGGCCTGGGGACCAAGATCCTGTCGCTGACCGACCCCGACGGGTACAAGATCGTGTTTGTCGACACCGCCGACTTCCTCAAGGAGCTGGAGAAGTGAGCTGCGAGCCCATTCTGCTGTTGACAGCCTGGTGTGAACGTCAAAAGGTTTAAAAGCAGGGCCGTATGAGGATGGCTGGGGCATCAAGCGGGTGTGACTCCAGGGGGAGCAGGGGGTGGCAGGTTCAGGCACGGGTGGGAGGGGCCCCATGCTTCCGGTGTCCTCGCCTGGACACGCCGGCATGCAATGCCCAAGCGTCAATCAGGCTGCCCGCACACAGAAGAGCGCCGTGGTGCGGCGTACGGCTCTGGAACGCCGCTGTCGAAGCTCGCACAGGGTCGTGTCGACTGCGCAGCCCCTGGCTCCCCTCACGCAAACAGAGCAAGCCACAGCCTCCTCAGGTTGACTGCGCGGGCGGTAGCCTTCGCCGCGCATGCGTGGCGATCGTCTCCCCGATGGCGGAGGGCAGGACTTTGGCACCCACCAGCACATTGGCCATGCGGCTGAAGAGGTCCAGCTGGCAAAAAAGGGGTTGTGAAAGAAAGGAAGAATCGAAGTGGGCCGCCGCGTCGCTGAATGGTCGTGGGTGTGACGCGGAGCCCAGCCGCAAGGTGACGACCCCCCGTTCCACACGGCGTTCCTCCTTTCCCCCCTCCCCCTCCCCGCACCTGCTCCAGGGGCGTGAGCCGGACTGCGGCGGAGAGGACGGAGCCGACGCTGGGCCCCGTGGGCGCGACATAGGAGGTGAAGTAGACGTAGGAGAAGACGGCCATGACCACCTGGCAGTCCATGCGGTCGGTCATGCCGCCGTGGCCGGGGATGCTGTCGCCAAAGTCCTTGATCTTGAAGCCGCGCTTGAAGCCGGAGGCGAAGAAGCCGCCAAACGGCGCGATGAGCGAGGCAAAGGTTGCCAGCACCACTGCGTGCAGCTGCATGGGCAGGCACGTGAGGGAGGCGCCGCGCGCCAGCGCCTGCCACCCAGGGTCCAGCCGGTCGAACAGGGTCATGAGCGCGTCGGAGGCCTCCGCGGGGAGCAGCGTCTGTGGAGGAGAGGCGTGTGAAGTGTGGTTGTGGGGGTGGGGCATGTGAGGGCAGCAGCAGACCTGGGAGCCGCAGGATCCGGCGGTGCGCATGGGGAGAGCCGATCATCGATCTCGCCGGCCTCGCCGGGACACCGGTCATATGACCTTGATTGGACGACACCATGCATGGCAAGGAGGAACCATCGTATCAGGCTGCAAATCCAGAGCCACCTTCGATGCCCACATGTCCACCACTCACCAGGATGTCTGTGAGGTAAAACGTTTGAGGGGAATATATGCTGGGAGTGGCTGCACAGTCGAGCGGCTGGATGATGGACAGATCCTGTGGTGAGGGTGGGGCAGCCGTGGGTGTTCAGGCGTCAGTCAGATGGATGAGGGCCAGCCTCCGTTGCCTTCGAATAACCAGACCATCCCCAGCAGGGGCGCAGAAGTCTCGACTGGCAAATGCACGCCGAGGGCAAACACCCATCTTACCCCCCCCCCGTTCCCAGCAGCTCAATGCGCTGAAGCCAGCCGATCCATGATCTGTTCACCCCTCACCGTGCGAGGGCAGACGAACCAGTCAAAGCGGGACAGAAAGCCTGCCAGGTACCAGGACGCCACAGTCGTGCCTGTGAAGGGGGTGTTCGGGTGGGTGGATGCTTGGCTGTCATTCTCCAGAATTATAGCACAGCCCCAGCTTGAGGTCTTGCGCTGCCCCCATGCATCCAGCAGGACCGTGACCTGCGCCGCGTATCTCTGCGTCTGAAACAGCTGCATGCCCAACACTCCCCCCCCCCCCTCGCGCATACCAATGAGGCCGCCAACAAAGCCTTCCCATGTCTTCTTTGGGGACAGCTGGATGAGGGGAGTCCTGCCAAAGAAGAAGCCTGTTGATGAATGACAGGAGCGAGGGAGGGAGGAGGTATCAGGGGGTTAGGATTGCCATCCGACGAGGGAGACGAGCTGTCTGAGAATCTCCCAGATCGCAGCCCATTATTATTGTTATCGCCCGCTTGGGTGGCCGGCATGTTGAGAGCAGCACCACAACAATTTTATCCCTCCCAGACTGTTTTATGGGTGCTCACAGACCCTCCTACCAGCTAGATAGGCTGCAATGTCATTGATGATGACCAGGGCGGCCGGCAGCAGGAACCAGATGAGCCCTTCAAAGATGTTGGACACGAAGAAGGAGGAAGGGAAGAAGATGGTCTGTGGGGATGTGGGAAGGGGCCGGCGTGAAGATCGTGTCACATGGTGTCTCCATGCCACCCCGACTCAGAGGCGCCCATTCCCCCTTGACCCATGCCGCAGGCTGATTACTTTACGACCCCAGTCCTCCTCCCCTGCAGCGGCCCAGGACCCCCCCCTCACCATGAGAATCATGTGCGTCCAAGCGTACTGCCCAAACTGGTAGGTGTACATGCCCTTCTTCAGCGTCAGCACAAAGAGCACGAAGCCGGCTGTGTAGAGCGAGAAGGACATGATGGTGTGGTGGCGGAGGAGCCAGCCAAACATTGCGGCAGTGCGCGCTGAGGAGGTGAGCTCGATGGTCAGGTTCTTCTTGATGAACCTGCAGAGGGGCGTAGGGGAAGGGCGATCATCACTTCAGTCGGGGGTGCCAGGGTCAAAGGCCAGCACAGCAGGGAAGCAGGGGCACTGGTCACCCATGCGGCGCAGGCTCCCCCAGCAGGCTCAACATGATGACAAGAATGTGACTCGCCAAAGACCCCCCCCCCCCCCCCCGCGCACCCTGTCCTTGCCTGATGTAGAGGTAGAATGCTGCGACAAAAAAGAAGTACCATTGCTGTGCTCTGAAACCTGGCACCTTCTTCTCCTGCTGCCTGACCCGGGCCAGCGCGAACACTTCCCTCACCATGAGAAACTGCGGCATGGGCGGATGGGTCGGGGCGGTTTGCGTCAGGGTTTGTGACGGGAACGCGTTTCAAATGGTGACATAAGGGTGAAGCTGCGTCTGAGGAACCCTGAGCATGGCTCGCGCCCCCCCGCATGCTCACCTGGATGCCTAGGATCATAAACATGAGGGGAACATGGCCGGCAGCAATGATGCCGATGAAGGTGCCGATGAGCACGATGGTGGAGATGGTGCGCACTCGAAAGGACTTGAACCGGTTCTCAGCCTGTATGGAGGTGTGTTGGGGGGTTGCAGGCAAGGGGGTGTGTCGTGGACCATGCCTGATCAGCCCAGGTGGGTACATGCCCCAACCAGCCATGCACAGCCCTACTTCCAGACAGCACCTCGGCGGCTGCGCCCGCATTCGATGTCCTGCGCGACAGTTTAGGGGATGCGGTGTCCGCGCTCCCATTCATTGACCCGGAGGACAGACGACGCCAGCCGCGTCGCCTGAGCCGTATGGTTAGGGCTTTGGGGAGCTGCATCCGGTGGGGAGCCTCTCAGCCCCACCCTTGCCAGGATTTGACAGTCTAAAGGGCCGGGTGGCGGCTCAGATTTCTACCTCAAGATCCAAGATGTTGTGTGGTTTCAAATTTGGACGATGGGCTATTCGTCGATAGAGGCTTGCCGGGAAGGCGCGCAAGTGCAGCGAGGGACACACCCGAGCCTGCAGGAGGGTACTTCAGATTGTCTAGCAGCGACAATCGTACTTTCGACCCACAACCGTATACTATTGTCCTCGTCCGTGGTATTGGGTGGCAAAGATTCCATGCAACGTCTCAGCGAGGGGCAACAGGGAGCCCGCCCGCATAGCACACCCAGCATGTCAGGGAGCTCCCCTTCTAGACTTTCGCAGCATATGAAGGGCCGCGGTGCCGCACTGAAACCCTCTCGCCCATACTTTTTCTCCTCTGGGGTGCGACCAGCACGCGCTTGTATTGACTAGCAACTCAAGTCAGGCAGTCATCATGTCTGCGGCGAAGAGGCTGATCCCCCTTCTGGACCGAGTGCTCGTGGAGAAGGTCGTCGCTCCCACCAAGAGCCTGGGCGGAGTGCTGCTGCCCGAGGTGGCGTCAGCCAAGGTGCGTTATGTATATGCCGATCTCCCATGCACCCGCGCGGGGCTCGGTAGTGCGTGGTTCTCGCTGCTCTCGGGCAATACGGCACCGGGGTCGTGGAGGTTTCTCCAGGGACTCGACCGCTGCACGCAATGATCCAGATATCTACATCGCCGCACAGATCAACCAGGGCACTGTTTTGGCTGTGGGGCCTGGCCGGAGAACCTCCACCGGAGAGCTGATTCCCGTGGGAGTCAAGGCTGGGGACAAGGTGCTGCTGCCCGAGTACGGCGGCACCCCCGTGAAGCTGGAGGACACTGAGTGAGCTGGCGGTGGGGAAGGGGCAGGGTGGTGGTGGGAGTTGGTGTAAGAGTATGATTTCTTTCAGTAGCCCTCCAAGGTCTGGGTTTGTGGGGTGCACGGACACTCAGTGCTTTGACAATGCGCACTCTGCACCGCTCCCCCTCTGACATGGCGTCCATTTGTCTCTTGACTCCCAGGTACATGATCTTCCGCGACGAGGAGCTCCTGGGTGTGCTCCAGAACTGATCTGCGTGCTGGGGACCCGGTGCCACCCGCCCAGGACTCGACGCAATCCTCCTCTGCTTTCTAACTTCTGGCTGCACTGCTCGCGAGACCCCCTCATGCATTGCCTTGGGTTCGCCGCACTGTGTCACTCACTGACTATCTGGCAACGAGGTCAAGGTCTTTTGCTGCCGTCATTGCCGTGTCCTTGGTGACTGTGACCGATTCAATGTCATGATATAAGCGATGCCATCCATGGAAGAGCATGGTGTGGAAGGGGGGCAAGACCATCCCTGAA